ACATCTCAGAGTTTAGGTGAAGACGTCAGAAGTATAGAGTTGAAATAGATTTTAAAAGGAACCAGAAACCCAATCCTAAAAAGGAAACAATGGATAAATCTCTATTCCTGTTCAAAAGGAGTATAAACCAGACGACAGGCGAAACTATCTAATCCTAATACTTACTTTTCAACGGTAGAAATCGAAGACTTGGCAGAACTTCCTCTTGACAAACGCAATCTTTGTGGCGATAATTTAGAGTCGGTTTCTTTTAAGGATAGTGCCTCCGTTTCATTTTGTTTCTCTGTGATAAGAAAATGTTTGCAGAAGAATTAGTTATAGTAAAAAGTCATAATTATATTATGTTTATAGCAGAGTTGTATTAGTCACAATATTTCTCAGGAATATATCGATCTGGGTAACCAACAGGTAATTATGAAATGAACCCTTTATTTAATCTCCGAGGGGTAGACTGTTTTAGTTCCATTGCCTATGTTTAGGGATATTACATATAATTCTTTTTTTATTTAGTACTTTTCAGCTATTTCTTGCCTGTTTCTACCGAGTGCACAACTACTAGGTTCACCAAATTCACGAACCAAAGATTAAATCCACTAGGCTATTGTTTCATTATTCTGTCTGAATTCTATTGTTTACACTATTTACTTTTTTAAATCATTTCAGTCCACGCAAGGTAATAAAGCCACTAAGACTCAAGAGGTTACTAAGTGTTAGAGAATATCAGCGCCAGTCCACAATGTGAAAAGAGAGATGGTCTTCGCCAGAACTCACAGGCTTCACTCGCTCAAAGACTTATTTGGCCACTGATATGGGAAAGCAGTTGTATACATCAGACAGTTTCGATATATCGGAACGGGTTTGGTGCTATGCATGACTTTTTTAATCATTTCATTTCAACTAATGGAATAAAGCCACTAAGGCGCAACTGGGTTACTGAGTGTTAGAGAATATGCGAAAAACTGCTATTAAGGAGAGAGGACAATAAAAGAACAAGAATTAAGAAAACAGAAGATAACGATTGACATTGCATTTAAATTTTTGAAGATCAAAATTGACTGGAAAGCAAAAAAGCCAGAAGAGCGAGAAATGCGATAAAAGAAACTATTAGAATGCAAATTAATTTCCTCATCTTTGTTGTTTTTATCATAGTGTTTTGCATGCTTTACCCTCCGGCCTTCATTGGGTGTATATCTATTCGGGTAACCTACAGGGAATCTAGAAATTAACCCTTTATTTAATCTACGGTAGTAGACTGTTTTCGCTCCACTGCTCATATCTTCTGAGTACCTTTCAGTTATTGTCCACCCTGTTTCCATTAAGTCCAAGTAAATACTGCCTGACCCGGGGATTGAACTCTTAATTACTATATCACCAAATTCACGAGCCAATTTTTATCCGTGAAACAAATCTCTGTGGAGAACTCGGAGCCTTAAACCTAACCTGACTTCTGATGAATGTTGCTGCTGCTTGCGATGCTTGATCACCCTCACTGAAGCATGGCAATTTGTTACAGCTGCTACTGCTGCTTTTGGATACTTGCTGTCATTTGTTTTTCTCTGCCTCTGACTCGACTGACTGACTCGCTCGCTCTGACTGACTGACAGACTCCTGACGGACTTCACCCCAGACTTCAGACTGAACTCCCTGCTTCCTCTTGAGGCGCAGTATTTATTACGTATGGGATAGTCCATTATGTTATAATGGGTAAGGTCCCATAACACTTACATAAGAAAAAAAACGATCATTAAATTTAACCTGCATTGAATATTGTTGCCACATCTGGTCTGGTGCTTCTGTTGTGTATCTAGAGAATCTTGACAAAGGTGAGTCTACAAATTATCAGAATCAACATGACATCTCGGCTTCAATCAATTTCCCCCCTTGTGAATAGATTCCTTTCACCTCTTTTATAAAATTTTTTATAAAATTTTCATGGCATTTGTTTTTATGAGCTTTCCTCGATGGAACTTTGACTTCATGAATTTATACGTAATACTCAATATCCGCTGGGATGTAATGGATATCGGCCCCGAACGATAAATCAGAGAACCCAGTTCGAATTCCAGTCTAGTTACATTCCCTTAGGTACAAATACCTTTAGGAAAAGTACGAATCCATTCCCCCTACAACAACCTATGTGTTGAATAGCATGACAGACTGGGTTCTGTAGCCTTGGATGGCAACCAATCTACCACAGAAAGAAATGGCAACATACTGCATGAAAATCTTCTGCCTAGTCCGTGATGAATCGAAAAAGTCATGATCTCCCAAATGTGTATCACGTCTGGCACATGACAGTTTTTATCTCTTCTCTCTTGAGGTATGGATTGAATAACAAGACAGCCTGGGTTCTATAGTCTTGGTGTCAATCAATCTAACACATAAAGAAACGGTAATATCCTGCGGGAAAATCTTCTACCAAGTGAATCGAACATGATCGCCCAAGCGTGAATCAATGTATGACAATTAACTGACTGACTAGATTGGCAGCAAAATCTAAACATTTTATCGTTGACATATTAAGTATAACCGTAAGTTCTATGCTAACAGTTTCCTCTTCCTCACGTTCCGCTTGTGGAACACTATTCTGACTTCATGCTTCCCTGTCAACTTCAAAAAATTAAATGCAATGCCAATTGTTATCTTTTTTCTTCTTAATTTCTGTCTTTTTATTTTTTTTCGCTCCTTATTAATGCTTCTCATTTTCATATATTCTTTCACTCTGTAATCGGCTGCATCTTAGTGACTTTATTGCCTTGCTTGAGATGAAATGACTAAAAATATTGCAAAGTCAATCGTTATCTTCCGTCTTTTTCAATGCTGTTCTTGTCCTTTCATCTCAGTAACGTCTTCTCATTCCCGTTTATATTCAATCAATTACTAGGTCTGCTGAAAGAAAAGTTGATTCACTGTGTCGTGCTAAAATAAAAGAACCTGTAGATCTTTAAATGACCCATGTCCTTTGTGCCTACATGGAAAAGTTATATATTATTAAATTTCTGAAAAATAAAAATTTATTACATCAAAGAAATGAAATAGCAGTTTTTGAACACATTATCTCATAGTTTCCATAAAAATAATTAATTATAAAAATAATTTGCATAATTATATATCAATTATTTGATCATAAATAAATTAATTTAAAAATGTGTAATTAAATTCTAATATTTTAATTTTACAATATCATATATAGTTCATTAATAAATAAGATATAGTATTTTAGATCTTTTATAAATTAAAATATAAATAATGACTTAATCATATTTGAAAAACCCTTTAAGAAAATCTCCATGTAGTTTCAGAATACAAGCAAATAAATAAAAAAATAAATATAAATGACAACAGTATTGTAATTCAAAAAAAAAAAAACAAGATATTGATGACAAGTCCAAATAAAAGGAAGTCAGTATCAACAGACAGAAATCTTTAACCCACCACCTAACCATAAATGGCTTTCAATTTGCCATATAAAAATTATACTAGTCAACATCAAATTTATTGTCTAAGCTGATTTAGGACAATTTTGATGTGCTGAATCCAAAAATCACATTGGTTTTGCTCAATCATGTCAACTTTTTGAGCTATGGCTAGATACTTTTTTTTATGCTTTTGCCTCTGTTGTCGTGTTCATTAAAATATCAAAATATGCAACATATTTCATACAATAAAACTAATTATTATGTTAATTAAAAACTTATTAATTTTAAGCCATCAGAAGTATTTTCAGCCAAATATAGCATCATAAATATTAAAACACGCCTTCAAATTATTTATAAACAAATAATAAGATGGTGCCTGCCTCACTTACTTGTTCTAGGCTTTTCCGGGATTGACAATAAAGAAGATGAAAGCTGTCATCATTGATGGCCCTCAAATCAATTATCATCAGATATCCAGAGTTTAAGAAATCAATGTACGAAGTGGAACTGGAAGCATGGAAGGCTTTTGTTCTGGTCGTGAAGAACTTTCTTGGCAAAAACAAGACCAGAAACTCAACAGAATGTGTCATCAATATGCTGACTGCTTTCAGAAACCTCAGATGCAACATGAACATCAAAATGCATCATTTACTTTCACATATGAACAAAATTGACAAATTGGGATCAATGAGGACAAACAGGGGGAGAGATTCCACCAGGACATACAAGAGATGGTGACCCGGTATCAGGGACGCTGTGATGCAGCCATGATGCCTGATTACTGGTAGACTTTGAAGAGTGATAATTCTGCCACTGATTATTCTAAGGGTTTGAATAAATGGAATCTCAAGCTCTGAATTTTGAACAATGATGACGTAATATGTAATTTACATATACTTACATTTATCAATGTATACTATTCAATTTATTGTAATTGATGTTTGTAACATTTCATTAATTGCGTTAGAAAATAATTTTTTCTCTTAAAAACTTATTTTCTATGAGAAATGTTAACAAAATTCAATCGATAATGTCACAAAAATGTAATCGATTTAGTCATAAGATCGGATTTTTAAAAACTCAACATAGCAACATGACTTGATTGAGAGAAACTAATATCATTTTTCGGATTCAGCGGTGAAAAATTGTCCTAAATCATTCGTAAAAATATAGAAAACTTTAAAAAAAAATGTTTTTTGCCACCCAGTGTTATACTAGTATTTTCATTCGTCAAAAAAGCCAACACCCCCTAAATAAAAAGAATTCTGAAATCTCATTGCCTCAACAACTTAAAATATATAATACTGTTTAGCTTATAAATATAATAAATCAAATTTTTCAAAGTTTATTGTCAGCATCGCTTGAAAATGGAAGGAAACGTCAAATTTTATTTTCAATCTTAATTTAAAATTTAAGTTTTGATTTCGAAACGTAGTAATTTCTGTATGACGATGTAAACATATTCTTAAAAAAAAATTATAATATTATGCTCCACTGTGTATTGAGCACTTTTTAATAAAAAATGAATACTAAAGAACTCTAGATTATAAACCTAACTGTTCTTTCTTTCTTTCTTTCTTTCTAGATAGATAGATAGATAGATAGATAGATAGATAGATAGATAGATAGATAGTGCTTCTCTTTAATTCAAACAAAGTCACATTTCTCACCTTCGGTTGCAAAGCCACCATTACTGGCCAAGTGTTCAAGAAGAGAAAAGAGAATATTGCATAGAGAAACTACGGTCCTCAGCTGGGAGGCCTCATGCCATACGTGACGATAGTGAGTTTTGAGAAATTTCAGGCCAGGATCAACAGAGGCTTCGAACAATAATTTGAGGTACTCTCGACCTTCTTCAGGAAATTGAGAATCCAGTCTTTGGAACCAAGAAACGACAAAGGGCTTCCAACCAAGATCCACTGGGTCCTGAAAAGAAAAAGAAACGTATATTCAAATTTTCCGATCGTTAAAATATCTCTGTTGCAGTTTTATATGTTGATATTTTTCGAACATGAGTATGGAGCACACAATGAAAATCGAACTCGCTGATCAGGTGTAATTAGCTGGATTGCTTTAAATAATTTATAAAATAATATTTTTTTTTATCATTTTTAGAAGTAAAACCCTTTATCTTACGGTGGTTACAATGTAAATTATGGGGCGGGAATACATTTCTGAAGCATTTCATAAAATAGATTAGATTATGGGTGTCCCGGGTGGATCTTTCTCTAAGGAAGAATAATTGTTCCGGCACGTATAATTGAAACTCAAAAGTAGGAAAATAGAGAAGGGAAGGGAAGAGAAAGAGAGAAAGAGAGAGAGTGTGAGAAGGAGAGAGAGAAAAAGAAAAAAGATAAACTGGCGTAGAGAGATGCAACGATAGGTATGAGATGTGCTAAACAGTAACAAGTTATTTTTGCTAAAATGTTAATGACTAGTTTATATATAAAAATGCACAGAGTGTCCATAAAGCCTCTTTACTATTTAAAAACATTATTACAAAAGCAGATAAACAAACAAATATGTAGAAATTATTACAAAATGAGGAAGAAGAGATAGTGAAGTTTTTGGGAGTTTTTTTAACTAATTTTATACTTCTCTACATAGCCACCATTATCTGCACGAAGCAAATCAAGACGGTAATCGATTTCTTGCCATAGTCGCTGAAACATAGCCTGATCAATGTTGGTAATGGCATCATTGATCTTTTCCGTTAGATCAGTGAGGGTCAGGGAATTAGGCCATCGCTTCCAATCAAACGGTCTGGAAATGTTAGGGGTTCCTTTAACAGTACGTAAAGAATTATATTCTTTTTTTTTTTTTAATTAAAGTAGCATTTGTAATATTTGTGAAAAAATATACGTGTAGCTAAAGAAAGTAACCTAACGAACTAGTATAAAATAATATCACAAAAATATATAATATCATAAAAAAATGTTCAAATATATATATATATATATATATATATATATCACACTTGTTTCTCACTCCCACACATACACTCTCACTAAAATTTTGCTTTTTATACCTGGAGTTATATTTTCTGATTTCTTTTTGAATTTGTAGGTCTGATGAATTGGATCGTGATTACGATACCAATGTAATAAATTATAACCATGAAATATTAGTGATTGAGCCCTTTTTATTATATATATATATATATATATATATATATATATATTATTATTATTATTATTATTATTATTATTATTATAAGAGATTAGAACGAAAACATGTTGAAATCGCTACACAATAGCTTTCGTCCTTCGGTACTGTTGTGTCTCTACAGGTGATAATAATTGACTGATGATTAAGTGATTTTTTTTTAATCATTTAATCACCAGTCACTTACCAGGAAAGATATATATATATATAAACATGTCGGATTAAAAAATTTAAACATTTTGTGTTTACTTACTTTCAATAAAATCCTTTCGTAATTACGTATAAGTTTTCTTGTTTCAGGATTAAAAACAGCAAGAAAGGCAGCGTAGTTATATTTATTCATTTTTATTTTTCACCCGTGTTCTTTCGATATTTTCCAATATTATCGGAACCCTGATGATGATATTGGAAAATATCGTTGATCTGTGAAACTGACTGCAAAATTGTTTATTATCCGCATCGCAACAATCTTAACTTAGTCTAGGATTAAACCCACATATCCGCATGATCTGTACCTCTGGTTCTGTAACCCTCTACCTCGAGTGGCTCTTGGGCCTTGTACAAGGTGAAAACCTATGTAAAAAAGACACGTAAGTGTTCAATTCCTTCAAAAATATCTCAACCTCATCCAGTACAATATGATAGAATGGTAACCAGCGACGTGATGTGAAGAGTCAGCTACAAGAAAGTGTTTGTCCCATTCCTAATTAGTGGACACCCGACGTTTGATCTGAAAACACAACATGCCCATTAGTTCCACCATGAATGCGGTAATGGCCAGTAGCAGGACTGGAAATATTTGGACAAAATCTACCGTATATACTCGCGTATCTTGCGACTTTTGAAGATCTAATTGTGAAGCTAATTTTTAGGGGATCCCGCCATGCACGTGATATAAAGTCAGCGTATGCACAGCTGGTCTTGGCTACGCCGTTGACCAAACTATATATCCATTTACTGTAGTCAAATTAGCTTCAAAATTAGGACTTCAGAGGTCGCATGATACGCGGGTATATACGGTATGCTCATTGCATCAAGACACGCGCTCTCTTGTATGAATAAAGGATTAGTAAAAATTAAAAAGGAGACACTATTTTTCTGTCATTTTTGTTCATAATTAAAGCCTGAAAAAAAAAACGCTGCAATAAAAAGTTAATCAATTTACCAATTTCATCAATGTCCAGTTCTCTTTTAGAACAGTTCTTTAATGAACCAACGGGTCTATTTCGACAGAGGAGGTAGAAACTAGGTTTTAGGATAAGTAAAGAACGTTGTAGTGTCATGGATATCAGCTCGGAATCAGAAACCGGAGAGCCGAGTTCGAATTCGTCAACTTCGTTGCATTCATTTACACACAAATAGCCTTGGGAAAGGTATGAATTCGTGGTAGCACTTGTTAGGGTCCCAGCTATGGGCAAATAGTTAACCCCCAAATTGGGATCAAAACGTGTTAAATAGGTCAGGTGCACCAGGGAACACCAGCAATTAGGAGGTGGTCCCATGCTCCTCAAAACCTTCTGATCAGAGGCCTTGCTGTCGGATGTAGTTTATCGTCTTAACCAGGACGCGGGTGTAGATCATCGTCATACCCAGGACGGGCTCTCGGGTGTAGTTTCTTCGTCATACCCAGGATGGGCTACCGGATGTAGTTTATCGTCATACCCCGGACGGATTAATGATGAGAGACGGAGAGTGCAAACTTTTCCTTTAATAAAATTTCTCGAACATTCAAACCAGTAGACAAAAATAAATAAATATACCACTTAACATGTTCATAGAGAGAGGGGGAGTGATGGGACGTGAGAAGAAAAAGAAAGAGAGAAGGAGAGATAGGAAGAGGAAGGAATAGAGAAAGATGAGCTAAAATGGAAATCGAATGACGTAGTTGAAATTTTGTAGCAGAGAAATATGACAAACATTGAAGAAAGTCTAAAAACGAGGCAAAAATATCAACAATCTGACCCACCATATAAATCATGGCGCATCTGCTAATGGTGGCTGGACTTGCTTGGGCCAATGAGTCGACTTCAAACAAGAAACGCATTCCTGAAGCTATCTTTACCCTTTCACCATTGGCCAGGCATAGAACCCGAGAGTCATCAAGGACGGTGTTCAGGTTTTCCACCCACAAAGTATCAACAGGTCCGTCTAGGATCAACCATTTCCATTTGATTTGTTCGAACTCGTCACTTCCTGATTCGAACGTTGTATTTGTCGTCTGCTTGAAGATTAAACATATAAAATGTTATATAAAACTTAAAATGTAGGTTTCTTTAATTTATTACATGAAGCCTTGAAATAGTGTTCGTTTTAAGTATTCTTTCATCGACGATTGTCAATTTTTTTATAAGCAAAATACAATTCGAAATAATATTATTGTTATTTTAAATTCAAAATAATGTCTTACCTTGACTTTCTCGAGTTAAAGGTTTTGATTTGCTTTTTAAACGGTGTATGGACTTATGGACTCTATTTATATTACTCGGACTATTGTCATCATCTTTGCTGCTATATTTATCACAACGCTTCGGCCGTTGTACGCTCCGACCTTCTTCCGGTGTTTGGAATGTCGAACTGAACCCTTTATTTTGCTCGCTGGGGTAGACTGTTCTAGCTCCACGTGCCATGTTTAATGGATGTCAGTTATCAGTTATCTCCCCTCTCCAAGTTCTCCACTGCATTAACCAGGTATTGAACTCACAACTTTTGGGGTCCTGTCACTGGATCTAAGCAACGCCTTTATCCATTCTGCCATATGTCCTTATGTGCGGAGTTCTGGGACTTATAAACTTAATGTCTTCAGCAACCATTTTTACCAGTGCTCATATTGCAATTTTTTGCTGTTATCATTGCATTTTTTTTTTACCAGTGCTCATATTGCAATTTTCGTTGGAGAGGTGAATTAAGATGAGATAAATGTAGTAAATTATGCCATGACACATGGAACTAGAACAATCTATCCCGGTGGACGAAATAAAGGTTTTCATTTGAATTCCAATCACCAGAAGAAGGCCGGAGCATACAAAGGCCAAAAACGTTGTGAATATGGCAATGAAGATGAGTATAACAGTCCGAATAATATAATCATGCAAACATGTTTCTAATATTTTTTCTGTATTTGTGCAATTAACAAAACAAGGATAAATATACGCGTCGGAATAATTAAGTCATTGCAAAGGAATCTGTTAAAGGAACCGCCTCTTGTGACAATATCTCGCCTTTTTTTTTTTTTTTTTTTTTTGCTTTTAAAATGTCACTTCATCTCGAAAACTACTAGACTTTGAATGGATTAAGTTGAAAAAAGCATACCAAATTATCTTGTCCATCTGGAGTGGCGTGACCTTTCGTCTTTACCGAAGTCGATGCGACGAAATTTCGAATTGTTGAAGCCAAAAGCCCATCTGTCCATTCAAAAGTCTCTGTGTCTGTCCAGCCATAGAGCGCTTGAAGGGTGACACATTTGGGATTAATGGTCACTGCTTCCAAGAAGTTTTTTTTTCCTCTCTTCCCCAAAGCCTTGAAGCAAACAAAGAAGACGAAAAAACAATGAAAAGCAATCTTAATTATGAAAAAATTAATTAAAAATAACAATTCATCTCCAAAATAAGGGGGTCAACTGGAAATTTCATAGGCTGACCAAGATATTCTCTAGGAAAATGTGACCAAATGAGGTTTATATTTAAACATAGTCCCCTCCCCCCCCCGCTTTGCAGTCCACGCACTTCTTCCATCTGTGTTGCAGTGCTTGAACCCTACTGGTAAAGAAGATTCTATCCTGTTGGCCAAAAAATATATCAACATCAGATATAGTGATTTTCCAAGCGTAGCTTAGATGTGGCACAGGTCCGAAAGCACCCAGTGACGATCAAACTCACTACCCAGTCGTAATTGTTCTAGCGAGATAAGCTTGCTAACCATTACACCGCTTTGTGGTACCCAATCAACATCATGTATATCATCAGTGCAATACTGATTTCCAGCAAATATTTGTTTAATTTTGAGGAACAGATGATAGTTAGGTGGGGGCCAAATCAGGAGAATGTGGAGGATCATCAACCAGTTCAAAGCTACAATCATGCACAGCAGCTGATGAAACAGTACTCCTTTCGTCAGTTTCCTGGATTTTAGATCTTGATTCCAGCGATTTGGCATAGTACACTACATTGATGGTGTGGTCCTTTTGAAGTCACAATGACTTTTACACCCCAAAACTGAGTCCATCACCTTCGCTTCAGATGAAACGATCTTTACTTCTAAACAGGTGAGGAGGGGTATTTCCACTGCATGGATTGTCTCTGGCTCAAAGCGATGAACCCAACACTCATCCTGGGTTAGAAAATGTTCAAGCAAACCAGCTGGATCTGCCTCAGACAATGTCAGATTTTTCCGTGATTTGATCAGCCTGTTCAGGTGTCAGAAGACGTGACACCCACCTAGCAGAAACCTTCGTTATGCCAAATTCATTGTGCAGAATATTTTCAAGTCTTTCAAGATTATCCCTTCCCTCCTAGATTCAGCTGCCGACTTGTGCACTGTTGATAAAACTTCAACATCATGCACTAATCTAGGAACCATATCAGGATGGATGTCCTCGGGGGCGAAACCCTTTTTCTGCAGGTACTTGATAACAGTATGAAGCCAAGATTTTGCCCATTTTCAAGAGAAGTCTCTACTTGCTATTTTATACAGTCAGATAGCAGTTTAGCTGGAAATATAGAATGCATTTATTAATAAGAAGAATTGGAATTAATTTCACAGCTCTCACATCACAACTTCATAGTCAGCCTAAGGACTTTTCAGCCCAAACTCACATCACTAACATTTAAGACTAACATTTTTAAAATAGTAAAAATCACATTTTTATATATCTGTTTATTATACATACTTGGGAATGGTTCATTTGGATGATGTCTAGGGCCCTGTGCAGGACGTTCCTCACTGTTGTCTTTCCTCCATCAGCAGGACCCACGAGCATGACTCCATCCCGAACTAGGATTTGATTATAGAGTTGCTTTATTTTCGTAACTTGCTTCTCACACTTCTGAAGACCAAATTCTCGCAAGGCAGCTCTGATGGCTTTCTGTAAGAATGACAGAAAATCAAGTAATTTAAAAAAACAAATTAAAGTTTGAAACATGAAAATGTATACTGCATTCTAAAGATGTGGCTCCAGATATCATCCTCAGTGGAAAAAAACACACTTTGAGATCAATTTTGATTTATACGCCATAAATGTGGAATTTTCTATTTTAATTGTTTTATAGTTCGGGAATGGTTGGTATAATGAAAGAAACTATACTGTAAAGAATTTTATAAGGTCTGCAATGTCCCATACATGCTCAATGGGGTTTAAATCTGGTGAGCGCAATGTTTTAATGTAATGGCTGGAAGTTAGTTGAATGTTATTGAAATTAGTTCCATGTTATTCACGCATAAGAAGTTGTGCTATCTTACATTGAGAAAGATTACAAGTCAAAAGAGACATGTTTATCAGCGCCTTTCAAGACAGACGTCAGTGGCAACAGTGGATCTTGCAAACACCAAGAGATTATGGATCTTGTACACATAATTTATGGTCTCCATAGTTTAAAACATTTAAATTACTATCCAACGTTAAAATCTATGTTTATCTAAATTGCTAAAGCTATACCATGCCTTCTCTTCCTCCAAAAACCCTACGTACATCTCTTTACTTCTCCACTTTTTTCTTTTCCCTTTTTTCTCTTTTTTCCTTTTCCCATATCATTTCCGTTGATTTGACCGATTAAATAGGTCAATGTCTGATCCTTACCTCCTTCTCCCTCAATATTAAGTACTGTAATAAAAAGAAAAATAACTTTTAATACTCTTCTTTCCCTCTCTAAACTCAACCATGTCTCTCACACTATTCCTCACCACCCTCTATGTCAACTTATATAAGCTCAATACTGCCCGTCAAAAGTGTAAATTTTAAATTCATTTTTCGTTTCACCTTTGAAAGTGAAGTATGAAGATACAGATAAAAATAAAATTCTCTGGTGAAATAAATTATAACAAATGGAGCCTTAAAGTGGTCTTTTTTCTTTAAATTATATTATTCGCTCTGACTTATCATTGAGCTCACAGGATTTCATCCTCCTTGGGATTATCCATACGGATTACTAAGATTTTCGTTACTTATATATATATATATATATATATATATATATATATATATATATATAAGGCAGCACGTTCATGGAGATATACAATTCAAGCCCTCGGCCACGATGACTTGTGGCTTCGTGCTAGCAGATTATCAACCGCCCCCAAGAGTTCTGTCTACCCAATTTCACTCACAATGCTTGGGTCAAACCGTGGGGTATGGTTTTCAGACACTTTCCAAAGGTGGCGCACGCTAGTCCGCTAACATCAGGAAGTCGCCTTCCTGACAAATCGACCATGGTGAGATTCGAACCCGGGTCTCATGGTCAGAAAGTGAAAGTTCTAACCACCCGGCCATATAATGGTTTAAATCGTTCGGGCAATTGTCTTCATCTTTTTGGGCGTATTCATGACGTTTCGACCGTTGTACGCTCCGACCATTTTCAGGTGATATAAATTGGAATTTCGAAATGAACCCTTTATTTAGTCCATGGGGTAGATTGTTCTAATTCAAGAACTAGAAAGAACTGATTGAAATTTCTTGAACACATAATGAGAAAAGAGGGTTTGGAGAATTGGGCATTCACAAGACGTATTGAAAGCAAGAGCAGAAAAGAAAAACAGGCAAGAGCCTACTTAACAAGCTTGTGCAAACATATGGCAGAACAGACATTGGGTATGATAAAAAAAAAGACAAACATTGCTAAGAGTTACAGGGGAGAGGAAATTGTGGAGCCATGATCGCTTAATGCCAATGTCTTGAAGGGCACAGTACAGAGAAGAAAAAAAAGAAGACATTTTGCCCACATGAAAAGGCACGTGTATTAGTGATAGGTTAACAAGTATAAAAAGGATGACTGGGATCTTTTTAATAAGCCTCACTCTAAAAGAGTTATCTTTTTGATAATGACTTTTTGGGGGTCATCTGTTGTAGTTTATTTTTGTCAGACAGTTAAGTGTCATACGTGATACCAGTTGAGCGATCATGTCCGTTTCCTTATCTGTTTATCTTTCTGAGATGAGGTATTATGTACACTATTTACATTATTCGGACTATTGTCCTCATCTTTGTCGCCATATTTATTACAACGTTTTGGCCGTTGTACATTCCTGCCTTCTTCAGGTGGTTGGAATGTCGAACTGAACCCTTTATTTCGCTCACTGGAGTAGACTATTCTAGTTCCACGTGCCATGTTTCATGGACATTAGTTATCAGTTATCTCCTGTTAATTCTCCTCTCCAAGTTGGATAGATCCAGTGACAGTACCCAAAATGTGTGAGTTCAATACCCGGCTAAGGCAGTGGAGAAAATGGAGAGGGGAATTAAACAGGAGATAACTGATAACTGACATTCATTAAACATGGCACGTGGAACTAGAATAGTCTACCCCAGTGAGCGAATAAAAAGGGTTCAGTTCGACATTCCAACCACCTGAAGAAGGCCGAAACGTTGTGATAAATATGGCGACAAAGAGGAGGACAATAGTCCGAATAATGTCCGTTTCAATTCGATTTTCCCGCAGTAGGTTGTTTTTTCTTCTTGTGGTAGACTGGTTGCCAACCAATGCTATAATATACAGTCTGTGTGGAAAAGACATTGCGGGTGGAAAAGACATGGATTCATACCTTTTCCAGCGGTATTTCTGCATGTGAATTTAATAAACTCGACTTGAATTCGAACTCGGAAAGCCCAGTTCGAATTCCAAGTTGTTATCCATTACAACACATCCTATTATTGTCCATGTAACTGAAATTAAATCATTTAATTGACACTGAAATTAAATAAAAAGAAACGAGATAAAGTATCAATTAGATGATGGGATTTTTGGTTTGTTTTTATGATTTTTTCAATGAGGATGATTCAAAATAGAGCAATCAACAATTAACCATCGGGTGGAAAGTGTAAAAACTTACTTCAAGGTGCTTGTATTGCACTTGAGTTGGAGTAATATCTGGGAAAAGATCAGTTAAAATATTTTCAAACAAAGGAAGGTCCTCAGTCAGGAATTTCGGTAGATTGGCATCTCTTAGGGAAGAAATCAGAATGTCAGATTCATCTTTTTCACTTAATACTTGGTTCTGATTTGCAGCTCTGAAATAGATCCAAACTATATATATATATAGATAGATAGATAGATAGATCAAAAGACTAAAATTACTTATCTGTTATAAAATATTAAGACATATAACCTCATCGTCAACAGCAATTAACATACAAGCTCCAAATTACGTCGGACCAATCTTGTGAATTTCTATGAACCTTAAGAAAATGTATTCCTGGTTAAACGAAATTCATAATTATATTGGTGATACAACTACATGCTTATGGAGAAAACTCACGTTATATTTCTCTGATTTCTAGCCCCCCCCCCCACCATGAGCAACGTCTTCTTTCCCCAAGCCGCTGCCTCCAGAGTATTAGAAGCTGTTTTCTATGTATATATATATATATATATATATATATATATATATATAAATGGTAATACTCGGATAGCTCAATTTGCAGTAGGACAAATCGGTACTCGGGGAAAAACTGAGAAAGAACCAAGAACATTAAAACAAGGTGAAACAATCGTCAAGTGTTAAGGTCAAAGTCAAAAAGAATCCGTGTATTTTTTTCTAGGTAGGTTTGTTTTGGATTATTGGGATTATTATATATATATATATATATATATATATATATATATATATATATATATATATATAAACATAAACAGGTGCATAAAAAAAGAAGAATAGTGTTTACCTTCGACTTGCTTTGTTTTCTTGCATGACCTGCCATCATCAGGACAGATTTTATGGCCCTCATCCCAAAGTCATAATGATCTTGCCGTGACAATTGTCGGGACGCTAACTGATAAAGGTTAATGATTTTTTGGGAGAGTGTCTTTGCATTTTCAAAACCCTGTGAAAATAGTATAATCTCTGCGATGAGAGCATAATCAGGAACCATCATGGCCACAGGTCGGAACAGGGCTTTCAGGTTGTCAGGAAGCTCAACCCGACCAGCGTATCTGAAAAGAGATGGTTTAAATATGGAAAAAAAAGAAATGAACTATAATATCTAAAAAAAATTCCTACTGTTAGTCTGCAACAAGACAATAATTTGTGGATATCTTATAAGTTGATCGCTGTTTTGTAATGTGATGGATATCGGCATAAGAAATCGGAGATTCGGGCTCGAATTGCAGTTGGGTTTGTTACATTCACGTACTCATAATTACGCTTGGAAAAGGTGTGAATCCATCTCATTCCTGCAGTTATGGAGTCAATAGTAGGACACACAGGTTGAGGAAAAAACTTCTGCCTAGTCTGCCTTGAACCCAAAGAGTCGTGATCATCCAAACGTGTAACATTTATGGCACTTAAATGACTGACTGCCATTTTTGTCCATGGTTGAAATCAACGAGCAGTAACAACATACACATGTACACACACACACACACATTATAATATAAACATGTTATAACATCACTACAAAAATAGCCATTTGGTTTAAACACTTCTGGTGTCTTGTCAAGTGATGGTGTTAATTGCGGAAGAAAGAGATTTAAAAAGTCCCAAGCCAACTAATGGTCATATATATATATATATATATATATATATATATATATATATGCGTATATTTTGGCAGCATGTTTACATTAAGTTTTGTCCCATTAAATAATTTAGGAAAGTTATCTTTTTGCTAAGACAAAAAATTTTCATGCTTTTTTCTAAGACAAAATCGTCGTGTTCATCTAAACATTAAACTTTTTATATGTGAAATGAAAACACTAATGTTATCTATTGTACAATTTTTAATTTTATCATGTGTGTGTTTGTGTGTGTGTGTGTGTGTGTGTACATGTTTATGTTGTTACTGCTCGTTGATTTTAACCATGGACAAAAATGGCAGTCAGCCATTTAAGTGTCATAATTAAGACAAAACTTGTCTAAATTATTTAATGTGTTCGTATATATATATATATATATATATATATATATATATATATATGAAGAAAAGTCCATCAGAGATCGAAAGATAAGTTTTCTACTTGACATCATCCATACTGTCTTTTTACAGATATATTTTTAGATATATCTGAATTGTTACACACACCACGCATTGAATAGCAGGGCTGACTGGGCTTTATAGACTTGATTGGTAACCAGTCTACGGCAGAATGAAACGGCAATCTACTGCGGGAAAATTTTCTTAGTCAAGAAAGAGACGTGATCACTCAAGTGTGGACGTTAATCGTTAATTATTATCTCCAATCTTCGAGTAATCATTATAATCTGGATCTGATACAGTTCTAAAACAGTACAATCTTTCGACGATCAAAATCGCTGCACTCTCCATTGGGACCAAAAATAGCCGACCCGACGGCAGACCCGTTCAGACTAGTTTTCTACTTCATGTGCCATGTCCCTTCAGGAGGTGGACGATCATGGTTCTCCACACCTTTCTCTCTTTCTAATCTCTTCCAACTATTTACACTAGCTCGTTAGTAAAGATTTTCCAAGCGTAGCTTAGATGTGGCACAGGGCCGAAAGCATGGGGCATCCAGCGAGGATCGAACTCACTTTTCAGTAGTAACTGACATAGCAAGACAAGCTAGCTAACCATTACACCACGCCGAGGTGCCCCACTAGCTTGTTAGTATGGTATTCGCTATTTCTTCTGTCTCACTTGGCTTCAGTAGGCAACTTTGTGTGTCAATTTTTCTAAGCCTCCTTTCCTCGTTACGTACCTCAGAAATTTCTTTTTTCTTATTCTAAGTATAAGAGTTCTTTTTTGTTTTTAGTTGTTGTTTTTTTCCCCTTAAAGCTTCCTCCTTGCTAACATGTTCAGTCCATGGTATCCTAAGTATTCTTTTGTGGAGCCACATTTCTGCTGCCTCAAGTCTCTACTTCTTCTCTAAGCAGATTTTCCACCATCCACGGCCATAGAGGATGACCGTTATTGCATAAAATGTCAATGCTCTTGAACTTGGAAAGAAGCCACCTTTATTTCTGAAAATATGTCTACCTTTTTGACACGTGCGAAATAAACAGATTTCCACCTTTTGAACACTTCTATAAAAACGACAGGAGTTTGCATTGGATAACGTGAAAAAGGGTTCACATACCGGAAAACAAATCAAACCGGATAAGACTGTGAGACTAGCTTGTTAACCATTACATTATTACAAGGTAAGATTTCAATCCTGACGTTGTTTGCCACTAAGATGCAATTGTAAAAATATTCATTTATAATCACATATTCAAATATATAAACATTTACAAAGTGGAATGATGATAAGTCAATTGTTATTTAGAGCTACAAAAGACAGGAAGTTGTGGAGAGCCGTGATTTCCCACATGCACATAAGAAAATAATAACTGCTTGCAATTATTTTATCAGCATGGTAGCCTCCCAAAAGTCTATAAGACGATGCTTCGAAATAAGAGATCCGCCTTCATCAGCTTTAAGAGGGAAATGAATGTGAATTTCTATTATTCATGGAGAATACTTACGTTGGATTCATTGTTATAAAGAATCCACAAGTCGGATTTAATTTCAACTCTTGACCATCAAATACAAACCTGGAAATAAAATCAACATATTTCGTCAGTAAAAAAAACTCATCAGCATAAATAATAATAATAATAATAATAATAATAATAGACCAGACACAGTGATAAAAGATTTCAAAAACGAACCTGGCAGAATCCAAATAATATATCAGCCATTATTACCCCTGAAACTAAGCATACAGATCAATAATAATAATAATAATAATAATAATAATAATAATAATAAATAAATAAATGTATTATTATTATTATTTCTTTTGATTCCGGTTGTATACACATTTCCTTCTAGGTCCCAACAAGAGACCTAAGTTAAGAAATGGGGTTATAACATTTTCCATTGATCATTTTTATATATAAAAAAAGACCCTAAGATCACCCACAATTTACATGGATAAAGCCCTTCGTATTGTATCAGCTTTACTTGTGAGTACAATTTTTGGTATTTCTTTAAGACATAGGCTACCAGGAATCCCTTCAATGAGTCTGTCGAAAGTTTTTCTAATCAATTATTGGTCTCCTCATGTGAAGCATTTTTGATATTTTCACCTCAAGGTTCTTGCATTTTGATAGTGTTTTGAAGATCTTCAAAGATACATTACAATCTGCAAAGACTGCCATGTCAATAAGAAAACACATTCTGTTCTTGTTGTCTTTGATCACAATGTCTGGGCGATTAATTTTGATTGTTCTGTCTGTGTGTCTTGTAAATGCCCATAGAATTGTTTCAGCTGCTATTTCTGTAACCGGAACTGGGTGAAGTTCATAACAGTTTCTTGCAGTTTTCTTTTCGTAAAAGTTGCATATTTTTCAGTGCAGATATTGACTTACTCTATAATGCCGAGTTTTATATTCAGTGGGCGCTAACACCGTGCAACCTGATGCAAGATGGTCAATTGTTTCTGGATATTTATCACAGAATCTGTATTTTTGAGTTAGGAATGTTAAGGAATTAATAGAACAAAGGGAGAGAATCGAGAGGACAGCAGATAGTGATTGAGATTACATTAAAGTTGGCTGTAAAGCATGGTGCTGAAAGAGAGTTCCACAAGCAAGAAGTGCTGTTGGTGAAACCTCGTCGCCAGTCTAGAACGGTGCTTAAATTCGAAGAGCCTATGCACTGTACCGAAGAGCGATATTTATTTGCATGGTAATACAAAATGTGGCACAAAGCCAAAAAAGGGGAAAAGGACGGCCTTCTTCTGTCTTAACGATAAACTTAGCTAGCTACAAACACTGACCGAAACATACAACAATATTCCCTACACCAAAACAACGCATTCTTATTTACCTTTCTTACTACATCTACTATAATATCTCATTGTCTCTATGAAAGTCCTAAGTAGTCCCCATATGTACAATTCATAGACTGTGGTGGTGGGCAGGTGAATAAAACAACAAATTTAAAAAATCTAACCCTTACTGCAGGGAAGAGCTCATCCAAGCAATTACTATCGAAGTATTTATAGAAAAGACAAAGTGGGGGGCGGACAATCTTACGGCGGTGGGAAAATGACTGAAGCCAAGACGACAGATCGGGAACAATAACATTGCTGATTCTTCTTTAGATTTTATTAAGGTGCTGTAGATAAATATCAGGAGCAGCAGAGCAAATGTAGCAGCAGCAAATATTCTAAACAGAGACGAATTGTAGACCTCCATAGAAAATAGATTCTTTTTCCAATGATTTTTATTTTTCTCTCAGATCTTCATTGCATTTACAATGTATGTCTGTGTAAAAAAGAAACAGCTGTTTCAACGTTGTGCACTCAATTTTTAATTAATCAGCCCGTTTGCAGAAATGGTGATCGGAGATTCTGAACCTACTGCTGTATTCCATACGATTTTGTGTGTGATTCAGCAGTGCTTCTACAAGGCTGGAAAAACAATGGTTCTACAGGGCTCATTCGTTCAAAGCTATTTTTTCTGAGAAAGTCGTTGCATACAATTGACAGGGGATACATGGTTTGAACGCCATTAATGACAATCATGCGAAAGTCTAGATTTGTCGAGGATGTTAAGAAAATCACTCGGGTTCTTAGGTTAATGTTTTGACTTTGTAGCAACTTGCGGTATTGTGCGAAACTACCACTGGCACAGCCTATTCTATATGCAATTTCCTTATCATCTGTATTAAATTCTTCATAAACGATCCATCCACCGGGGTATTTGAAGTATTTGGTAGACAGATATGAACAGACCGAGATAGATAGATAGATAGATAGATAGATAGATAGATAGATAGATAGATAGATAGATGTTCTATCATACATACCGCATAGCATGACTGTCTTTTGCTGATTTTATTGTTTGAAGTTGCTGAGAAACCACAGACAGCACCTCGACTCCAATACGGTTGAACTCATCAAAGCTACACCAGCTACCAGAGAGAATCAGACCAGTGAAGAATTTTGATAGCATCTGAAAGAAACAAAGTAATACGTGTTGTTTAAGGCTTAGAGTCAAAATGGCAGAGTTGAAAGATCCGGAACACATAATGGAGAAAATGGTCCTGGAGAATTTAACACCGACAAAAGATGATGAAGGCAAGCGAATTTGAGTAAATGGAATGAACAAAGACAATTAAGGGTGGTAGAGGTCAAACGATGTTTAGAGGCACAAAAAATGGAAGTTATGGAGAGCCAAGAAAGCGAACATCCTTAAAGGACATATAAAAGAAAAAGGCAAGATTTATTAGTTAAAATAACAATTTTGCATGGTTTAAGAAGTAAAGATAAAAGAAAAATGAACGTATATATATATATATATATATATATATATATATGTGTGTGTGTGTGTGTGTGTGTGTGTGTGTGTGTGTGTGATAAATACGAATCATTCAACATTACTAAAAAGAGGTTGTAGCACATCATACCACTTTCCGTGAGCAAATTAAAAACATTCCTTCCAGGCCTGTCCCGGACCCACAATTAAATGTAAATGTTTCGCAAATATATTTCGATTAAAGTAACTATTTTATTTATTTTTTTAACCCTTTTGTATCTGGTCTTAAGATTTTGACCAGGAGTGTTCATATATATATATATATATATATATATCCGTGTAAATTTCATTTCCGTTCGAACAGCTTCTTCCCGCGAACCACTATTCGATGAAACAGACTCCCAAGAAAATATTTCCCCGATCACTACGACCTTAACCTGTTCAAATTTAGGGTTAACCTTTATATACACCCTCCTGTCTGTATAAATAGCCTCCTAACGTAGCGCTTTATCTCGAGTGGGCTCCACGCCTTGTACAGGCTGAACATACTGTAATATATATATATATGACATTTGTTTACATTCGATACGCCAGAGCAGTTATGAATGTACGAGATTCATGGAAGATTGAAGTTTATAAACAGTAAATTCGACCTTGTCTACCGTACGGTTCTTTGTGGCCGAGCGGTCAAGGCACGTCAGCGTATATGACGGTTCCGTATAGGATGCAGGTTCGAATCCTGTCAAAGAACGGATATTTTCTATGAAAATTTCTCGGACATTCAGGCCGGTAAATGTTATTTAATACTGTTTATCATAAACAGAGCATTTGCTTAAATACTTGTATCTATAAATAACAACGTTAAACATAAAAATGTCTTTAATAAATATATATATGTGTGTGTGTGTGTGTGTGTGTGTGTGTGTGTATTGTAATGACAAAAGCACGCAGGTGTAGGCTCTAAGAAATCTTTATTCAACTGAGAATACAAGGTTCGCGTATAGTATCCTTTTACAGACCCATAAAACTCAAACAGTTCTCTCAAAGAGGTGAGTAAAAAGCAAGGGGAGACCACTCTTGATTAATGATTACTCATATATATATATATATATATATATATATATATATAGTAGCTTCATGAATTATTGCTTACCTTATAGTCGAGGCCTTCGGAACAGTTGAACACCACACACTGTTTACCCATGATCTGTAATGTCAAAACAACATATATCTTAGGAAATGTGTTCTTCAAGAAGAAATAAAATGTCCAACGGAGGTCAAAAGTTTTGAAAGAGAAGTGATGTCAGATCTAACAACGTTAAATTGATGTTTACCAAGATCTATTTAGAATACGAAATATTCTTTCTGCTTATTACAAAAAAATTTCCTAATTAACATTAGACAAACATTTCTTTCATTTTATATCATTTTTTAACAACTTCATGAATGGGTGATAATTCTGCGATTATTAGGTTGCAGAAATATATATATACATATATATATATATATATATATATATATATATATATATATATATCATTCAGCAAAACAAGATGTCGTATGTCGCAGCTATCGTACCGATGAGGCAAGAAAAAGCAACTAGTAGATGTCATATAAATCATGTCAGTTATCATATTCTGTTGTAAAGCTCATCGTAAGCCTGCTCTTCCCTACTACTGTGACAATAAACTGCTCCTACTGATAAATATGGCAAGTAGCCACATTAGAGTAGGATTTGAGTAGGATTTGATTTACTCAAGTATTTCCGTTCTATGTATGTTTGATAAACCACTTCTTGATTTTTCCCTACCTAGTCTCCTGTTTCTTCGATAATATCTCTACTTCGTAATTCTATTTTGAACAAAGACAACATTACATTCTGTATTTTCGCATTAGACAGAAAGACTTTAGTCAAATACGCTTTCATTTGCCTTTCACAGCCTAATTAGCAAAGCAGCTTCCATAGAAATACAACCTCGCAAAGACACAGGCGCGAATCCGAATCGAACTGGAGGCTTACCTTTCATTCTCGATTAATGATTATATAATTTTTTCTCTCCGGAATGTATATTACATATTTATTAGTCTACCATTCGCCCACGCTTTTAATATTGCTGCCACATGTGATCTTGCTCTATATTTAGAGATTCTTGAAAAATCCCAAGAAGTATCTGCAATATTATTGGTCCTGACCTGGAGTATCTAACTTAGTCATTTTCCCACCGATGTAATGTGGCTTCCCTGTGCCTTTTCTATAAATACTTTAATGATAATTGTCCTGAGCAATTTTCCTCTATGATACCTAGACTTTATGAATTTAAGTGCAGTACAAGATTGGCAGCAATTTTAAAGATGAAATTGTTAGATGTAACCGTAAGTTCTATGTTAACAGTTTCTTCTATCGCACTTCTGGAATTCTTTTCTGGTTTCTTGCTTTCCAAACAACTTTGATCTTTAAAGGTTTAAATGCAATGTCAATCGTTATCTACTGTCGTCTTAAATCTTGTTTTTTTTTTATTGTTCTCACTCGTTAATATTACTTCGCTTTTTCTTATATTCTTTCAGACTCAGTAACCTCCTTGTGGCTTAGTGGCTTTATTGCCTTCCTTGGAGTAAAACTAAGGAATTTTCGGTCGAACTGCAATGAAGAATTGTTATTTATTGTTTCGAAAAAATCATGTAATGAAATTGCTTTGATAAAAGTCAATCTCTACTCCTTAGAAGTTTTTTTTTTCATTCCATATTATATGATCTGACATATGTTTCAAATGACCTTAGGGTGAAATGGAAAGTTAAAAATAATAAAGATCAAGATAACCATCGGAAAAATATCTGGAGTAATTAAAATATTTGTCTAAGAAATTCATACAATATAATTAGTCCGAGAAATATATCGGCTATAATGTTTTGTTGATAAAAAATAAATATGGCGATAATGATTCAGTGGAATAATTAAAATATCTGAACACAAAAATAGCAGGCAATACAAGAAGCCCGAAGAATAAATCAACCGGAATTTGATCAAAAGAAAAATTCTAATGGATTGAGCATGTGCAACGGTTAGCAGATCTGGTTCACTGCATTCACTTTCACACAAAGGTACGAATGCATCTCTTCTCTTCTACCTGAGTTTTGGTGCAGATGACAATGCAGGCTGGGCTTTCAAGCCGTGTTTGACAACTAGTCGAGGAGAAGGATAACTTTAAATTCAAACCGTATGTTACCCTGGTAGGACTCATGCTATACAGCCATTGAATAGATTATGCCACTCGAGGTAGAGGATTACAGAGGAAGAGGTAATGTTTATATGGATATGTCAGGAATATAACATTTAGTCCATAATTTGAACAGGTTAAGATTGTCGTGATCGGGGAAGCATCCTCTTGAGTCTCAGTTTCACAAAGCATCGGTTCGTGGAAAGAAGCCACATGAGTAAAACTTACAATATAGCCTATGGAATACTATGAAAATGAGGGGTTTCACTACATTGGGCGTGGCCTTGTGGGTCTTAGTCATGAAGGTTAGAACTGGTGTAAATAAGGGATGTAGTTCCTCTGAGCACGTTCCATCGAAATAGAGCAGAGAGCAGCGAGAAGCATGAGAAGTTTCGTCCGTGGGAAACGGCTTGTGGGAGATAACATATTTCATCACTCACAAAGACACGGAGACGCTTTTTGACTCAAGACTGAAAAGTGAAGATTGTGCAGCTCCATTTTCAGCCTGTTCTAGCTACAGTAAATATAGAGGATAGCGCAAGGAATCAGATACTTACTGGAGCAATACAGGAAACGACAATTTTTCCCGTATCTTTAGCGACATAGGAATTCCACTTGAGGTTTGAGTTTAAGTCCCTACGTAAGTAATTTGGAATTCTTATAGTGAAGCTTAGATGTGACACAAGCCCGAATGTATGAAGCACCTAGTGAGGATCGAACTCAATACTCATCAATAATTCATATCGCATGAGAAGCTTGCTAAGGATTGCATCGCGTTGAAATTTAGAATTCTGATAAACCTAATTTATTCTCGTATTAAGAAATAATTGGACTTTCTAAATGGAGAATACCAGACTACATCATTGGCGTCCACAAATTTAAGAAAATAAGACGACATAATGTTAATAGCAGACACAGAAAGGAAACTACAATAACTCCTACAGAATGTAGTACAATTAAAGCAAGAAGAAAGGACGACACATTAATTGCAAGAAGACAAAATGTATGGTTGTTAACAAAAGGTACAGCCCATCATGAAAATTAAAAATTGGAGATACCAAAATCAAACGATTTAAATATCGGGGAAGTTTTTTTAACAGAGGATAGGAAGTGCGACACGGAGATCCAAAAGTGCATTGGGATAGCGAAAGGTGCCATCCAAAGGTAAGTAAAATATTAAGAAACGGGGACATTTTGTTAAAGACAAAGAAAAGAGTACTAAACATAATATTAGTCCCCCTCTATGGCTGTGAATGCAAATGAAGAAGAGACTTGAAGCAATAGAAATCTGGTTCTACAGAAGGACGCTTAGTATATCATGAAACAAAAAAACACCTATACTTAAC